ATAAAACTTATATATATATATATATATATACACACTTACACACAAAATCCCAACTGAAAATATGAAAATTTAATTATCAATTAAGCAACATCTATCAATCAACCACATAAGAGTAGTCCAAAAGAATATCTACAACACCATCTGCCAACATGGACTTAAAGGTATTTTTCCTCCTGCCTTTCATGTTTTACTTTAATATCAAGTATGATCATCGTAATTTAATCACAATGAAATATGCAAAAGGTATGTTAATATTTAAAAATAATCAACAACTATAGAAGAAAATTACAACTATACTAACAGCACAATAACACCTCCACTTTACCATACAAATACTATCATTTATCAACACATGTAATCAATTTAATAGTATACAATCACCATTTCACAATATTACAACATGTTCAATTTTCAACATAACTAGGCAACCCATCAACATGTCAACATTTTTTAACTTGAACAACACAACAACATTGCAACTTATCCAAACAACAACATAACATATGCACGACACCTTTCATCAACTCAACAACACATGCACTATACAACTAAATGCATCGTCACATATTATAACCAAGAGATCTCTTATAAATACAAGTGAGCAGTTTAAGTGGTTTGACCCTCCTTATCGAACCAACTAATAATGCGATCTTTTAACATCAGCTAGACCAACAATTAATTTGGATAAAAATCCACAACAACATGATTTTTTAGATTTCGCCACTTAAACTAGGAAAGACTAGTATTCTTATCGAGGTAAATTAATTTGTGTGTGAGTCTACCACGACCTTAATATCCATAACTAAATCTCTTATGAGATTAATTCTTTGACTACCCTCCAAATACCATGCCCTTTCGATTACTTAGTTAGGAATTTAGTCTTTGACCTTATACCTTACTTTATTTGGTTGCTTTATACACATTTGGTTCGGTCTTTATACGGATTAACATTTGGTCACTTTATGATCAGTATAACTCGACCTAACTCCTATTGTGGGCACTTATAAATAGTATGGCTCGACTTCGCCCTTATACCATATTAATTAAGGTCTTATATGAGACATTACAATCTACTTTAAGAGTCAATTTCTCAAAAAGAGTTTTCAACAACTAGACTCAGAATACTTCAACACAATATCTTCACAAAGGGATATTCAACTTTTAAAACAACCTATTCCCTAATCCTAAATCAATCAACACAACACAATTTAATGTCTTAAGGATTCTCAACACAATCACCTCAACCATACAATATACAACACAACTTACAACTTTCAACAGTTTAATCATATATATACATTATCCGATATCAATGTATAAAGAATTAACATCTTACCACAACATACAACGTGATAAAGTTTAACAACATATACATGTTCAACACTTAGTCAACAATTCAATACATTAATTAGACAACCCACGTCTATTACCATTCTCCTTGTGCTCGACGTTATTGGGGTAAAGAGCCTTTGGCTCATCGATGTCTTGCACCAATCTATCAGTGTCTGGCGTGAATGAGGTAAAGAGCGACTTGGTCAAAATCCATGTACGACCTCATTTAGGTAGAGTGTCTTTGTCTGACTCACGTCCATTGTCACAACAATAACACTCATCGTCATCTAGGTAGAGAGCCTCTATCTTGATCACACCTGACGTCACTTAACTAGGGTCTGACGTCACCAAGTTAGAGAGTACTAAGAGCATTATGTTTAGTGTCATTCAACCCAAGTTCAACGTAACCAAGTTAAAGAGCTCTCTTTAACTCACATTTGATGCTACCAATTTTACTCGAAGTCAGTGAAGTAAAGAGTCTTTAACCTGTATCATGTTCGACGCCTTGAGGTTGGGCCTAACATGATGGTGAAATCTACACTTAACAGAACCACAAAATTGGTCCAAACCATATGTAACTCAAAAGAATCCAAACATGCAATGTGCTAAAACATCCATAAGCATCATAAACAACTCGAATCAAATTATATTAGCAACATGTAACTGCAAAATGACTAGAATCATCAACTTCATCTCGACACACTTCATAAGCAACAAAACCCAACTTCAACATTCAAAACTTAAAATCACCCAACATAACCACAGTTTTATGGAAATCAACCAACATACAACTCAAACAATTCATTAAGAATTAAGATTCTAACTTCTTTTACCTCTAAACCCACAAGAATTAGAGGAAGAAAAGGAAATGGGGTTCTCCCAACTACTCCACACAATCACTCTAACAACTTGGATTCCCAATTCTACATGCTTGAATCACAAGTCAGCCTCCAAAACCACTATAGGGGAAGTGATGGGAGAGATTTGTGAAGTCGAAAGGAAGATAGTTCACTTTGACTTCAAAGCTTTTCTTCATAAACTCTCTTTAACTTTCTTAAAAAATTGAATTTGAGGTCAACTTCTTAAAAAAGATCTTATATACCTTCTCCTAAAAGTTAAACTTAACTTTTGTTTAAAAAAACTTCTAAATAACCAAAACTTATAAAATTTCCTAAATTTTCAAGGTTTTTCAACATTCAAACAATAATATCACCACAACATATAAATTAATAAATTCAAAAAGTGCCCAATTTATATTCATTGGTAATTTTTTTAGGTAAAATTATAATTATGGGTTGTTTATATTTTAGTTCATCAAATATAAGATTTATATTTTTGATATCTCAAAATTAAAATTAAATTTTTTTTGTAATTTGAAAATAAAAAATATTTTATTTCTTCGACTCAAATATCGTTAATGAACTTGACAAATAATGATAAATTATTATTAAATTTATCATACAAAATTTACTTACTTTTACAATTTGTTAGTTATTTTTTATTATATTGATTATGATTAAATTATTAATTTAATTATAATTAATTTAAGAATTAGAGGATATTTGTTAACTTTTGTCAATGGGACTAGTTTATAGACATTATATAAAAAGATTGCAGATTTAACTTTTACGCACACCGACAAATATTATCTCCTCCTGTAAAAAAAATATTATCTCTTCTTAACACTATTCATTATATATTTTCATTTATGTATCTCCTTTTATCTTCTTTTTTAACATTATTTGCAAGGCTTCGGTGTATTTTTGGCTTCATGAGCGCATGTCAATGTGCTGTTGTTGTCATAAAAGATAAATTGACAAGTAATATAACCTATTTTAATTTAGAAGAAACTTAGAACATAACTAATAAGATGTTTTTCTAAACAATTATAGATAATGTAAATACCAAATTTAAATTATAAATTTTTACGGACCAAAAAATTATAAATTTGTACAAGTTTTTGGTGACACGTGAAACTAACATTTGACAATTATAATGTTAGTTAATTTTTAAAAATATTTAGTTTTTCTTATATATAAATATATTTTCTTGCAATGTTTTAAAATTATAAATATTAAATAAAATTTAACTTATATGTATTTATGGGATGAAATTTAATTTTTATGATTGGCCTCTATCATTTATTTATGGCACCGTCACCATGAGAGTTGAACCATTGGTTGTTAATTTGACTATTTGGTTGAGTTATTGCTTTTGCAGTATGTGCCTTATATGGGGGACAACAAGAGGACCTTGGATGAGTACAGTTCAAAGATTTTCAGAAAAGAACACAAATTTCTGCAACTTTTCCTACAATTTCCACTCCAATCAAACACATACAAATCATGACCACTTATATGTTGATATTTCCACCAATCCAAAACAGTGTAAAAATTGAAAGAGTGGTGTGATTAGTAAAAAGTTGTGGCCTTTAAAAGCTATTCCTAACATTTCGTTGTGTCAATCTTTCATCCTGGCCCAAGAGCCCAACCCGAGTTTGAAATTGCAGGCTTTTCCACATTTATCCCGGGCTACCTTTCCATAATGATCAATCAGCTCCTCCAGTTTTCACTTTTCATGGCATCATTGTGATGTGTTTGTGACAATTTTATATGAAAAAGTTTATTCAAGTATCACTATCACCTTTACTAGTGTCTCTTTTCCAATTATATAAGTTAGCTTCCCTAACAAGGACGAGAGAGGAAGAACCTCATTCCAAAGGAAGATACCGAGTTGACCAGTTTTATGGTCCAACAGAATATTTACCCCACAACATAAATGACTAGAATTTCAATATATACGGTCTAAGGTTTTTTTTCCTTCACCAAATTTAATTTCAAATGCCAGGTCAGGGATACTTGCTGAATGCTTTAGTCTAGGTGCATGCATGCGTCTATGTTGCTATATTTCGAATATATATTTCATTTTTCTTGCATCATTGTCATAAAGAATTGTCAATAACCATTTAGTCCACTTAGACAATTAGAAAGAACAAGAGTAAGAAGTAAAGAAGCCAGTTTGTTTTGTTTTGTGGAATTCCAAAACTTGTTTAAAAACTGTACGCAATTAAATTCAAATTAGCAACATGCAGTATAAATTTTTCATTGATTAATTATGACAAGTGTAGCATTCATGTGGTGAAACCATGTAATGTTAGAGGTTGATCTCTATTTTGTGCTATTCATTCAAACTGAAACCGCATCAATATCTTTACAGACTTAAATTTCTCTCCCTTTCTGTTATATAAAGGGACTGAACGAAATCCAAGTTTTAGCTCTGACAGTGGCAAACATGTTTGTCCAGCAAAGTCATCCTTTCCCTGATCTTTATCCTTTACTTGTATCAGAAGCAATGCAAGCTCTGGAACACTTAATGAGAATTCAAATTCTTCATCCCAAACAGGAAACCAGTTGTCCATGATAACCTTTGTTTTCCTCTTTGCAATATCACCAGGCATTCCAACAATACGGATCTGTCACACAAACTCGCCAATCAATCAATAAGATACAAATAAAACAACATTTGTCATTTTCTTCATTTTAACTTGTGAAAATAACCCTTCAAGATTCCTAGTTAAGACTTAAGAGGAGTGCATAGGATAAATCAAAAGTTTGATTTTTATGGTGGTGGATGTTGGACTTTAAGGGACATAAGAGATAAAAGGTGAGATCAGCATAAATGAGATTAAGGTGAATACATGGCCACACAACAAAAAGACAGATATATAATGATCGTTTACGAAGAGATATTTGTTATGCCCAAAGTGTATGGGTATCCTCCAAAGTCTAACATCGGGTAATTTTGAAGAAGGGAAGTGGTAGACTACTACTATATAAATAAGAGGTGATAATTTGAGTCAGTGGCGGAACTTAGATTAAAATTTTGGAGGTGCCAAATTAATTTTTATATATAAATTAAATTTTTTATTAATTAAAAAAATATTCCTCATCTTTTTTTTACTCAAATTGAATATACATGATAATAAAATCTCAAAAATTTATTATCATTCACTAATTATTTTATAAAATAATTATATAAATATAATATTAAATATATATAATTTTTTTTTTAGAAAAATTTGGGGGAGCCACCCCAAGAAGATCCGCCACTGGTTTGGGTCTACTTACCACAACAACACTAGTCTTTGGGTGTATTGGGGACTTGGGTAGTTGTGTGTCGAGAGAGGATTTGCAATTTTTCCGTGCAAAAATTGTGTGAGAGAGTTTGCAATTTTTCCGTGCAAAAATTGTGTGAGAGGGTTTGTAATTTTATCCTTGTAAAAATTGCAAGCGGAGAAATAAAATAATTTATTGAGTGTGTTTGTGGAAGTAGGCAAGAAGTGTCGAACCACGTTAATTTATGAGTTTATTTCTCTATTTTTGTTTCTCTCGTTGTGTGTGCTTCCGCTATGAAGTTTTCTTTTCCCTCTGGTCCCCAACAAGTGGTATCAGAGCTAGGTTGGTGTGGTGGGACTCTATGAGATTCTTAATTCTTAGTATGCTCTGTGGTTGTAGCATTGTCTGATCTTCCACATCAGAAAAAGAATTGAGGTTTTGACCCTGGGAGGAAGAGAAGCAGTGTACCAAGGAGGTTATATGGAAGAAGGGATTTCCAAGTTTCGCCAGAAAAACTTGTGATAAAGGGGTTTGTTTCGACAGAAAAAAACTTGTGAGGAAGGGGTTTCCAAGTTTCACCCATAAAACTTGTGAGGAAGAGGTTTCCAAGTTTCGCCAGAAAACTTGTGAATGATTATGGATTAATGTGAGACTTTGGATGAAGGGAGGATATGTTGTGCCCAAAGTGTGTGGGTATCCTCCAAAGTCCCACGTCGGGTAGTTTTGAAGAAGGGAAGTGGTAGACTACTACTATAAATAAGGGGTGATAGTTTGGGTCTACTTACCACAACAACCCTAGTCTTTGGGTGTATTGGGGACTTGGGTAGTTGTGTGTCGAGAGAGGGTTTACAATTTTTCCGTGCAAAAATTGTGTGAGAGGGTTTGTAATTTTTTGTGCAAAAATTGTGTGAGAGGGTTTGCAATTTTATCCTTGTAAAAATTGTAAGTGGAGAAATAAAATAATTTGTTGAGTGTGTTTGTGGATGTAGGCAAGAAGTGTCGAACCACGTTAATTTCTGAGTTTGTTTTTCTATTTTTGTTTCTCTCGTTGTGTGTGCTTCTGCTATGAAGTTTTCTTTTCCCTCTAGTCCCCAACAATATTGGTGCAGCAACGATTAAAGAAAAGATAATAAAAAATAGGTTTAAGGTAGTTTTGGATACATTATACCTACAAAGTTCATTTGGAAGCATGATTTTTAGTCTTGTGAAGAAGAGGTGAAAGACTAAGAATGAAATTAGGAAAAGTTATTAAGAGAGATATTATGTTAAATATAATACCTTTGATGTTTTGGTCTTTAGTCGAGTCGAATAATGTTGTGTGATTTATATAGCTGACTTTATTTAGTGGGATAAGGTTTTTTATTGTTGTTGTATTGCTCATTATTCTTGAAAGGGAGTTGCAAGGGAGTGATAAATAAGCTAGAGATATATGTTGTAGTCGTAGAGTTCACAACATTTATGATTAATAATGAAGCCTAATAACTGTGTCGAACATCAAGTTCTGTGGTAATTGGTGAAAGATCAGTCCTCCTAAGTTTACCGATAATTGTTGTTTATACCAAGAATTTTCCAACTGACCTTGGCATAGAAGTCTGGCGGAGAGCACTTGTCGAAGTGTGTAGGACTGAAATCTAGGCTCCACCCATGTCCCATGTATAAGTTTACCTGTTATTGGAACATAACATTCAAATGTCACTAAACAAATGAAATGAAAGTACATTGCATTATATTATTGAATGATATATGCTTACCTTTAATGTCTTCTTCTTCACTGACTGTATCCTTGTAGGATCAAACTCATTGTCACATTGATATTCCTGCATTAGAATTTGAGGCTTTTTGACATAACCACATCCTCCATTTGCCCTGAACATCCCCTGCATCAACCAGAGCGATTTGCCATGACCCTGTTGGAGAAGACAAATGGTAGAACTGTGGAAGGTTAGAATTCCAGGCAAGGACATAGTAACTTGCAAATGAACTTAATGCACTTAATAGAACAAAGTATCACTATCACCAATACTCTTGCTAGTAGAAGGGTACAAGATTTGATCCATTTGAATATTGACACTTTGTACTAGCGATAATTATAAACCCTTAATCAATTTTCAACAAGCATATTGGGTTGGTCCACAACAGAAAACAGCTGAAAGATGTATTCACAACTAATATTAAATGAAAAACTTATCCTTGGGCATAGTTCCCTAACCTGCATATTGAATGCAACCATCTGAGCACCGTACATCCACCCAATATGTGGCTTGAAATTTGTGGATTTGACCCGCATTGCCCTTGGATATACCCTGAGTATATTTTTCTGTGTGAACCTGGCAAGAGTAATTGCTTGAATCAGATAAGTCATGGGATAACTACTTAGTGTTAGAGTGATGACTTTATTTAGGAATTTGTGGCCCTTTTTGCAAATACTATCACAATGCACCAGTTAAGCTAAACAAGTACCTAAGAATATCTGTTCCATAAGATTCTGAAGCCTTTTCAAGGGTCGTCTCACTCCAACTTAGGCGTCTTAGTTCACCGTCAGTTCTCAATTTATCCTTAAGGCAACCCTTAAGCTTCGTATTATGGATAGTAATTATGCGTTTGTAATCAGGTGAACACCCCTGATATGATTTGTTGCCACATTCACATGCACTTACTTCTCTCTCATCACGATCACTTCCATTCTGCTAATATATGAAAAGAAGTAACATAAGCACACAAAGGTTAAAATAAAGATTCTTAAACTATCAATCAATTAAAAATCATACTAAATGACTTTTAAAGTAACCGTTACAAAATTTAACAATTTTCAATTATGTGGCAGTCTATAATTGAATGACAGTATAAAAATCTGTATGAATATTCTAATTAAGTTAGTTATACTGTAAATATATAATGCATATAGCATATATAATATATCTTTGTCTCACCGTGCCCTCAGTCTCCACTTCGTTCCTACTAGAGTCTGAAGACCTCTTTCCCCATGATTCTTCATCAGATGATTCACTTTCATTTAGCATAGGACAATTGTCACTCTCCTTGATATGGTTGGAGTCAAAACATTCTTTCGGGGGTTTGGTTGATATAATCACTCGATTTTTCAGTGATTCTGGTGAAGGGAATTCTGTTAAACAATCTGTCTCGGGGTAATAAAGCATTTCCCCAAATATTTCAGTTGCCATCTGCAAGACACGAAACCATTGTTAGAAAAGGAAAAAAGAAAACACAATAGTGATTTATGCCAACTTGGTTAGCTATATCTTTTGGGGGAGAGGAAAGGCCATACTCACATCTGCAAATTTAGCTCGAAGATCTTTTGTAAGATGGTCTTCTATGGTTATGATCACTGGGTACTCAGATGCAACAAAACTAAATTTCTTGATGGACTGCAGACATTTGATAACTGAGACAGGGTTGGTAAGAGTCCTACATTGATTCCATTGAAGAGAAAAAGAAAACTCAAATAAGCATGCTTTGTCTTTAAGATTGTGGAAAGAAAGTGAAATTTCTTTTAAGGTCCCCGTAGTCAAAATAAACTCTGAACTGAATTTGAGCATCAGCTTCTTACCATCCATGATCTACTTTAATGTCACCCTTATTGTAAGTTGGCCATAAATCAAGTTCAATGACACGCACACCTCGTTTCAAAGCCTTTATGATTGGCTCTTCACTGCAGTCACTGCTGAGTTGATTCCCTTTCAAATAGGAGTTATGGCCTGTATATATGAAATAATGTGACAATGGAGCACCCATATCATGATGTACCTGGAATCATATTATTTTCTTCTTTTAGCAAAATAAGGCTAAAACCAAACACAAGGAGGGAAGGTAGCAAAGATGAAACTCTTAAAGGTGAAGTTCTACTAATGGTTTTGACTTTTGATTTAGATATATAAAATTTGTTTAGATAGGTTTAGAAGAGTTTCTAAGAGCTTCCTTTCTGAAAAATAGTTTTTTTTTTTAGTGGAAAAGCTCTTAAAGCTCTTCTAAGTTCATATACAAACAGGCTCATTCTATACAACCCTTAGACTTGGAAAGAGTTCTCTTCCCCATGGTGACCAAATATGCATGGAAATTAAGAGAGCTTACCTCAGTTTTCAAGGGGCCGTTAAAGTCATCATGAAGCAAAAAACAGAAGAGCTCATCAAGGGTGATTTCCTGTTCTCTCTTTTGATCTAAGTTAAAAGATTCTTGACCTGTCTTTCTCTTTTGCAAAATCTTCTCAACAACTTTGTCTGAATCCGATAAGGTGTGGTTCTCTTCACCCTGGTGCTCTACCAGAAAACGGTGAAGCTGCTCAACAGACATGTAAGATCCTCCTCCAGTGAACTTTGAAAACTCCTCCTCGAGGTCCTGAGGTGGAACTGGCTCGGTGACCTTGAACTTTCTGATGATGAACAAGAAACTTTTGTATTTGTTGTAGGTTGCCATGTTATTTCCCATCCTTTCTTCCTCTCAGTGTCCCTCTAGCGTTTCAGACATGGAGATTAAGGAACAAAGCATGCATTTATAATGTGTGGACTTTGGATCAGAGTGAGAGAAAAGCAAGAACCTTCGAAGAATCTTCTCTTCTAATCGCTCCTTTTATGTCTCTTAAAGTATGTTTGTTCCATCATTCATGCTAATCAAAGTAGGTAACTAACAGAATAAAATGTTCATACTGTTTAAGAATTTAAGACCAGTAACTTTTAATCAGCGATTTTACAAAGCATTACAAAAAAGTCAAGCCACAAGTTGCCTTGTTCTGCGTTCAGCCAAACTGAGGGTAGATATATATATCACGCACAGAATAGTTATACATCTTATTTATGCATTATGAGATTTACTATCCAATAAAATCTCACTTTAGCATATGTCATAATGAAACTGAATTAGAATTTAACCATGTATCTGCTAGATTTACATCAAAATATTGTTTTTTCGCAGATTCATATAAAATTTAACGATTTTCTTACAATTGTACTTCTTTGTCTAAGAGTCACTTACCCAAAACCCAAAAGACAATTATCCAATACGTTACGCTGTTCAATTAAAATAAAAGGTAGTGCGTGTAGCATCTGGTTCTATGACTAACTTTAACATTGAGTAATATTAAGTTGTGGAAAAAGTAAACACAACAACATTGACTTAAGAAAAGAAAGACCCATTGGTTTAGGACTTCAGGTCAATTGAAAGGAGGTTTTAACTTCCAAGTATTGTGCACATGTTTCTCTTTTCAGTTAATAAATATATATTTGTACACACGACCACATGTGTTCCCTAGAAATGTATTAAATAGTAGCAGTGGATTCATTTTTGTTTAAAGTTTCAATTATTTTCTCTTTAGTTGGTTCACTTTGCTTTACTTTCATTATCAGCTCTTTTTTATATTGTTTTTTTCCCGAAAAGTAAACGAGGCTTTCTACTTGGCATCTTCCTTATGGAGCTCTTTTGTCATAAATTAACATATATTGTAATTGATATGGATAGGTCTTTTGTAGATTTGTGCTGTTTATGCGTGTGATATATCCTACAGTCGTAGTCCACTAACATTGTTCATATTCCACTGCCTTTATCAGATTCTCTTCCCAAGGTGAGGATGGATGACTTTATGTCGTTTTATTTATCTAACGACCATTTTTGTTTTGTCCTTTTTTAAGGAGATTTTTAATTTGTCTTTATTTCCAATTGTTATCGCTTAATTTCCTTGCAGAACTTGGACAATGGATCTCATGCACTATTCTGGTAATCAGATTAATCTTGCTGTTGCTCCATTTTCAACCCATCTCGCACGCGTTCAACAAAGATTGCTCTCATGTGCTGTACTTCCACCTAACAAGAATTTTTATCTTCCCAACAAGGTAATACATTCAACAAGTCAACAACAATTGACCCATTTCACTTGATTATTTGTTTGGATTAGGAATGAAACAGATAAAAAGAAACAAAAATGCTAGAAATAAGAATGATACAATTAAGAAGAAATGAAGGAGAAAAACTCTTTCTGCTTGCCTGGATAAGTGTAAAAAAAAATAAATGAATTATACGAAAAATATTTTAGTAATAATTAAAAATCTAACTTTTTCAGTGTTTGTTTAAAGAAAAATGAAGGGGAGGGAAGACTTTGTTAAAAACTTTTATAATTTGGTTTAATTTTTAGAAGTAGAGGAGCTAAATTTCTTCTAATTCAATTTTAGTTTTCCTCTAATATCATGGAATTTGAAAGGGAGGTGAGAGATTTTAAAATTAAATTAATTTTTAAAATTTATCTCTTTTCTTTATAACTCAGACAAAAATAGAGTTATCTCTCCTCTTAACTAAACAAAATTTTCAACTCCTTCCCACCCTTCCAAGCAAACAGCAAAGATTTTAGTATTTCTATCTTATTATCTTCCTTATTCCACTCCATCTTCTTTAAATAAACAAAGACAAAATAGAATGTAGTTTTTTTATTATAAATTATCAGCGTGTTGATTTCTAATTCTAACAAGATTTTCTTGAAAAAAGACAAAATTTGCTCTTAAAGTATGTGATAAAAATTAGTTTTTGACTGGCAACTCTAAAATCGTTGGTGGGAATAAAATTTCTACATATATAACCAACTCCAACTTAGATAAAATCAAATTTCACATATAAAATATCTCCCCTGGATTGATGCTGTATATACACCAACAGCTACAAAATATTGAAGTCCCAACTTTTAAATTTTATAAATCTAAGTAGTTTACAATAATTTACAAACATGAGTTAGGTATTTATGTGAAAATATTTTAAAACCATGATCATGATCCCCTTCTAAAAGGTGGGAAATCAAACATAACCACTAATGAAAATTTTTAATCCTGCTGGGGGCAACAGTAACATTGTTTCAGCTAAATTGTCAGGAAAGGCAAGTCCACTAGGAACAAGTTGATAACAACCAGCAACAACAGGTATGAAGGTTAAGGATTCATGTCAACGACTCTAAACTCTACAGTCTACACTGCTATTTAGTTAATTCTCAAACTCAGCCTCTTTCTTCTACAGTCTCAACTCTCTTTTTCCCCTCATCCAGGCCCCTCCCAGGAAAAACCATAGGCTTGGATTTTGGAGGGAGTGGTCCAAATAGTGTATCTTCACATAAAGATTGATTGAGAATTTAAAGGTTAGCTTTCAACCATTAGAAAGTTGAAAAACTCATTAAATATCTCCCTGCAGAACCTTGGCTTGTTATTTTCATCCACCTGATTTTGCTTCTGCTAAATCTTAGCCATCAGTATGGAAATTAATTTGGTATGGAATTTCATATCAAGTGTTTGAAGGAATTTCAGATGGTATATTGAATTTTATGCATTGATGTTAACTTGTTATGGAAAGTAGCAACCAGTGGTTGATTGAAGTGATTTATGTTGATTTCTTTTAAGAATAGTCTTAAGTTAGAATCTTATATATAGAAGAAAAATTCTGTGTTGAAAAAGTTAGTTTGGTCATATTATTGATATAGATGTTTTATATCGCAAGATAAGATACTTATAGTCCTAAACCCAAAATGTACTGCTTCAGGAATTATGCGACCTTGTTCATTTTATTTATTTATTTATTTTGGATGCGAAAGGGAATGACCAGTGAGATAACAAAATTCTGAACATATATGGTGGGAAAGAAAGGATCAATTGATGAGACCGAATAAATAGTGATACCGTTGCATTTTCTAATGGATGGGATTTCGGATTTATGTCAGTGTACATAGTTTAGCATTCTTCAACATGCCATAGGGCTTCAAAGATGCCCTACTTGGGCCGTTCATTTTACAATTATAAATTCGCTTCGTCTTAAGGATTTCTATTTTAAACCTTTTGTAAACTGTAGATATACCAAACAATAATGAATTTCCCTGCTACTTTATATTTATGATACTTTAACTCCCCTTGCTTGATCTAGTGATCAGATCGCGGTGGAAGAATCGGGAAGGGAAGAATCAATATATGGTGAGCTCAAGCAAAGTGGATCAGGTGAGCCTATGTACTTTAGTTTACTGGGTATTCAATTCATGTCATAAACGTGACAATTTATTTAAAATTTTAAGGAAACTATAATAACTTAAAGAATAATTTAACAATAAAGTGGTCTCTTACGCTGTCTTCTAGAATGCAGACTGTAAATCAGTGTATGTAAATGCCATAAATGTACAGCTTTTTTTTTTTATTCAAAGTACTCTCATTTCTTTGCATTCTTCATGTTTAAATTTCTTCAAAATTTCCTTGGCTACTTTTTGACAAATGAAGGTTCCACAAGACTTGAGTTGCTTCTTGTCGCAAGGAGATCATCCACATACAATGAGATGAAAAGAACATTATCACCCAAAAAAAAAAAAAAAAAGATGACAAGAACATTAGCTCCATATTTCTTGACATAATCTTGACCTTGACAAACTTTTAGAAAACCTGAAGTTCAGCTAATGTTCATCAATTCCACTGTACCAAGCTTTTCAAGATGATTTCAACCCTTAAGGAACCTTCTTGAGAAGATAAACATCATTTTGTCATACCGTACAAAGTTTTGGGGTTACTTAACATAATTTTTTCCTTGTAAGAAACCATTTAAAAATACTGATTTAACATCAAGTTGATAAACTCTCCGATTCTTTTGAGCGACTCCAGCAAGTAGTGACATGATAATGCCCAATTGAGCAACTGATGCAAACGTACCTTAGTAATCCACACCAAAAACTAGAGCATAGCCCTTCATCACGAATCTTGACTTATGTTTATTAATAGAACCGTCAACATTAAGCTTAGTTCTGCGTACCCATTTGACCCCTATATCCAGGTTTGGTTTCTTTCTATCATTAATAGTTCCTCCTTCATTGCAGCGACTTAAATTTATCTTTCCTTGCTTAATGATTTCTTTCTATCATTAATAATCTCAGGCTCGCTCGCACATATACAACAAACGTTGCATCTGTCATAAATATCAAAGAGCAGTCTAGTACTAATTACCGGATCATCATCAAATAACTAATTGGCCAAATTTTATCTTTATTTTCTTCTGAACTTGATGCAGAAAAATTTAAGTCCATATATTTAGAAGCTTGATCTGTCTTATTTGGAACACCGCATTTCAATTCTTCATCTTCCACAAAGTGCACATCCCTGCTAACAACAATGTTCAGATTTTAAATAAATACGACACTGAATTCCAGCGCATTATCCTTTTAAAAGAGAGAGTATTTATTTACCATCAGATCTCTCTAATACTCCAAAAGACAACGAAGACCACAACGAAGAACGAGCAGAATATAATAATGCCTGTCAATGGCTTTAACAAGTTTTTCAAGAATTTAATATTTCTCCCATACATCATCAACCTTATAAACCACGAGATTTATATTTTATAAGCATCGAAAGTTGGCAAACAGGTCTTTAAGGTAAACAGAGAGAGGGAGAAGAGAGGGATGTATATTTAGAACAATGATATATGGACACTGCCATATTACAAACTTATTTTGACAGTTTTTATTTTTCTATATTCCCTCTTCTTGTTACACCTATAATATCTATAATTTTCTCTAATAAAATTATAGATATTATGATATTAACCTTTTGTACAAACTAATAAAAGTCATGTTAAGTAGGGTACTGAGATGTTTCTATTCAATCATAATCATTATTAGGAAAACTATCCATAGACACCTATTACTAGATGCCACTTATGTTATAAAAAGACAATGATAAAAATAGAAATAAGTAATCATAGATGTTAACAAAGTATTTGATATAACAAAGTGTTTTGTTCTAGTAGTTATAAAAAGATACAATGGGTTGATATGGTATTTCCAAATTCAACTTTAAACATCGTTGATGAGTTGTTGTGCTGATATATCATGTTGTTTAAGTTGAAAGTTGATTGAAATGATGAGTTGAAAAGTTGTACGTTGTTTAAGTTGTTAAGTTGAGTTGTGTTGTTCAGTTGTAAGTTGATTCAGTTATGTTGATAAGTTGTTGATCACTATGACTAGAGGAGATATTTTCGAAGTTGCTCATCCCATTGTGCGGATTGAGATAGTTGTGGTGCTCTGAGAGCCCAATTTGTTAAAAACCCTCCTTGGGAAATTGTCCCTTGGAGTAGACATTGTGTTGTTCTCCTCTAGGACTTAATTGATCCCGTGTGTGGGCAAGGTCGAGGCACACGTGTACAACACAACCACGGTATAGGAGCAAGGTCGAGCTATACCGATTACAAAGCGACCACGGTATAGGGGTCAGGCCGAGCTATACCGATTATAAGCAGCTAGATGTTTAATGTTGTAAAGTTGTTATGGTACCTATTGTTGTAAGATGTCTATTGTTGTATTGTTATAAGTTGCCTATTGTTGTAAGATATCTATTGTTGTATTGTTGTATTGTTGTAAGTTGTTTATTGTTGTAAGATGTCTATTGTTATATTGTTGAAAGTTGTCTATTGTTGTAAGATGTCTATTGTCGCATTATTGTAAAGTTGAAAAGTTAGAGACATATGGTGAAGATATATGTTCTATGTTGAGATACATAGTACTAAGGAGATAAATTGAAAGTTGTTTTAAAGTTGAGATACATGGTACTTGGAGGACAGTGGGTGGGTAACTCCATATATGGATTGGTGATGCTAGCCAAGGCCGTGGTAGGCTCATACCCAAACCCTTATTTATGTCCTGACAGTAGTACTGGACCTCTGAGTCTAAGTGGCACACCTGAGCAATTGCCTATTATTGTCTATTCCTGATTTTCTTCAGAGTTCCTAACGATGTCCTATACCTGACCTAGTTGAGATAGGTCAAACGCTGGATTCGGTAGGGTTTATGCCACCTAGACTACTCAACCTCAATTGTTGGAGATCTCCAAGTTGAAATGCATGACGACGCATAAATTGTTGATGAGTTGATTTGTTGTTGATATGAGTTGTACATATGTTATTGTGTTATTAAGTTGTGATTGTGTTGTATGTTGATCCTTTTGAAGATGATGATAGTGTTGCTATGTTGTAAGTTACTTTTAAATATGTGTTGTTGAGAGATGTATAATACATGTGTTGATTGTTGTTATGATGAATATGATAACTATTCAAATGGTTTGTACAGTAGTTGTGTTGATATGGGGAATCAAGTTGAAATGATATTAAGATGTATAATATATATGTTGTTTGTCTTATGTGTCGGATGCGAAGATGATTTTATAGTTGTTGTATTGCATATTAAATTATTATGAGTTATTTATTATTTCTAGTTTACCCTTGCATATTTCCATGTAGTTTGAACTGCGATGATCATATGTTATATGAGAGCAGGGTAGGAATAGGCTGGGAGATAGCTGCTAGAGGCCACATGAGGTGCCTGGAGATGAATATTTTTTTGTAGGCTACCTTATAGTAGCATATTTTGGTTATATATAACTAGTTGCTGTTGGTTGCTTGATTAGCAACTTGTATTGTAAATGTTATATTATACTATTTTAGTATATATATTCCAGTAGTGTGTAATGTTATTTCATAGTGTGAAGGTCACGGCGAGTCGTTACACTTTTATCGTCTATATTAAAATAATATTTGAACCACAATAATATGTATTTAATTGTCGATTTCAATTTTTAGATCTGTATGTAATCATGTACCATGTCGATGGAAAAAAATATATATATATTTGACATACATGAATATATAGCATGAAACCTTCCATATCAACATCACATCCAATTCAGTTTAGCAATAGGCTCTCGTAGCCTGTATCCCTATTCCCTAGTTATCTTTACTCAAACCAAACAATCTAGCTTATATGGTTGAAAGGTGCATATGAATCGCTATAATTTTTTTCTATACATGGGAACTAAGTTAAACATGTCCAATCACAATCAAAATATAGCAAATGCCACAAAAATGAACAGATCAAATATCAAAAGCCTTCCTTTTTTCCTTGTTTGTCCCATTGAATATCAAGTTTACTGATAAGCCAAATTCCAAATAAACTGTGAAGGGTATGAAAGTTGAGCAGTGATTCAAAACAATGTCACAAAAGATTACAAGTAACACAGAACATCCCTAGAATCTGAAACTAACGAATGAGAGAGCGAGCGAAGTGACGTGACGCGTCACGATTTGTCACGTGCGGCGTCGGTGGCGGGATGTTGTTGGAAGGCGGTGGAGAAATTGGAGTTGATATGGGAATAGAGAGAGAGAACTTTGGAGATGTTACCGTTGAGTTCCTGAATGAGGGAGACGTTCTTCAGCATGTTGTCGCGGAGCCTAGAGTGTTGGTTCTCGTTCACCTGCTTGATCAGGAACCGGTTACGGTCCAGCACCGACTGCACCTCGCGGAGGCTTTCGCTGAACGCTCCCCACACTGCGGTGTCGCCGCCATCCTCACCGTCGTCTTCGCTGACGGATGGGTCTTCTTCCGTTCTGGATTTGGCGGTCGAATAGAAGGAGGTCATTGCCACCAAAAGAGGAAAAAAATTAGGGTGAAACTGGATTCGGATTCCCTGTTTTGCTTCAACTTACAATAATTATTTTTTAAATATTATAAGAAAATATCACGATTTTTCAAAATTATTTTTTTTATTAAAAAAATAATTATGACAACAACGATAAGAATCCAACGTAAGAACATCTAATGATATATTTATTTTAAATTCTTAATGGATTTTTTATATTTAAAAATTTGTTAATTTTCTTTTATGTTAGAGTCTCCTTTAATTTTTAATTTAATTTAAATTATTTGAACAATTACGGTTAAGTTAGTAGGAGTGTTAACAGTTGGGTTGAACTGAATCTATACTAATATATAAAGGGAATATTTTTTCTAATAATTACCTTGGTCTTCGTATTTTTGTTACTCATTATATCTTTTCATTTTAAAAAATTAAAAAAATAATATTTTTATCAAAATCAAGACTCTAAAATTAATTAACTAATTATAACATTAAATCAACATATATTTATTACTTAATTTTTATTTTATTTTATCTTTAATAGAGACACAAAGTGTCTCGACCTTACTAGTTTGGATAAGTTCGTTATTCAACTTGATCAAAATTTAACAGGTTGGGTTGGATTGGATTTGTATAATTTTTTTAAAAAATTCAATCTAACTCAACTTAATCACAAACAGGTTAGGTTAGATTGGGTTAACCAAGTCAATATAATTATATTTATTTATTTATTATAAAATTTTAAATATTTTAAAATAGATATAAATTATTTGATACATTATTACAAATTTTATGTTATCAACCTATAAAGCAAATGATAATGCAAATTAAATTTTAAAATAAATTTATTAATTTGTTACATTATTATCAACTCAAAAAACCAACATTAATTAATACAAAATAAAATTTAAAATAAATTTATTATATTGTTACAATACTATCAACTTAAAATACAAAACTTATTACTAAATAAGAGTAATCATGACTCATGAGTATTATCATAAACAAATGATCATTCAAAAATCATTATTATTATTATTATTATTATTATTATTATTATTATTATTATTATTATTATTATTATTATTATATGATCGAATTGGGTTGGGTCAATAACGGGTTAAAAGCACAAAATTCGTCACTCGACCCATATAATATCAAGTTTTGATCGGGTTGAGTTGAATCTGACCCAAACACTGAAAAAAACTAATCAGAATTCATTGGATTAGTTTAGATCAATTTGGATTCGCAGATTACTCGTACTCACTTACACCCTAAAAATTAGAATAATTAGAAGTATGAAAATTTAAATTCAATTATATTAGGATCATTTTTATTATTTTTTATATTTATTAAAGAATTAAATTTTTTATGAGTTTTGATGTGTTGATCTTGATTAATTATTTTTTTAATAAATTCTTGTAGAGGAATTCATTGACACTTACTATTCACATTACTCATTTTCAATGTTGAAAAGAAGTGATTTAAAAAAATGTCATATAACAATAAACACTAAAGATAATTTAAGTTTTTATATATTTAGTATATATTTATTTTAATATTAGTACACTTTTCAATGTCCGATTAATTTAATTTATAAATGTTGTAGCTTTGAATTTTAGGGATATTTGAAACTTCTTAACGTGAAAACATAACTATTATTGTAATCTAACCTTTCTTTCATTGTATTTAATTAAGGAAGTTTAACTAAATATTTAGTTAACAAATTTGGGTCTAATAGGTATTTTAGTCTTACAACTTTCTATCTTATTAATTTTTTTTCTATAAAAGAAAGGGTAAGTCGCAGTTTCTAGATGCGCATGTATTAAGTTTTTATCATATTAGTCATTATTTTATTGTTATGGCCAACCATTGCAAACATTAACACAAAGATGTTAAAACATGGGCTGTGAATGGTGTCACTTTTATGTCTACATCTTAAACACTAAAACTGATCTAATATTAATGGGCTTTAAATCGATTTGAGTCCACTTAGTCAATTCATATACTGACGAAATTGGGCCTACAGAAATAAAACTGTTTGAATAACAATTAGGCTTATTTAGGTTCAATTATAAAATGCATTTGATCATATTCAATAAATGATTCAGCTGAAATTCCTTTGTCAACTTCGTTGAGTCAATGAATATAAAGTTGTACTCGAAGCCTTGTATAAATTAAGCATAGCTAATTAAGTTAAATAACACTTATCTCTTGAATAAGTATTTCTTCTTTCATGCATGCATGCATGCATATCCGTGTGTGCCGTTAAGTTAAATCAAGTTTTTTCATTAATAAATCAATTGGATCATTTGACTATATGAATATTTGGTCAGGAAGGAAAACTCGTAGCAGATATGAAAGGCATCTAATTTTTGCAAATGCTTGACTCCTTCTCTCTTACAAGTTACAATCATCATCCATATACGATACAAGTTTTTGAATTACATGCAAGATCCTTTTATATTTTATTATCCACATTTTATCAAATCTTTCGTATTTAGTCAACACGCATTTAAAAGAATATGACTAATCTTATCTTATGTTTTCGTTTTCTAGAAAATTATTCATTTCTTGTCTTGAAAACAATATAATACTTGTCCTAATCAACAATCTTTTTTAGTTTACATAAAAGAAATATCTCTCGACTAACAATTGAATATTAATTTCTTTTTAGAAGTATATATCATTGAAATAAATTTTATCGTTACTAATAAAATTTATCTATACATATGATCAACTAATCAAACTTGTATTAACATATTTAAAGAATATAAGTATGTATCGACTATGTTGGACAATATGGACATTATGTAGACATTTCAAATTTCAAGTAAGACATAAAAAATTATTTTCTTACCAAGTAAGTAAACCAGTAAAAAAAAACACGATGTTACAAAATTTAGTTAAAAATTAAAAGATTTTGAACAAATTCATAGTATTTTTTAGGGGTGGGCAAAATGAATTGAACTGAACTGAACTTATAAAAACTATACTGAACTTAAAAATAGTTCTTATGAACTGAACTAAACTAAATATTAGTTCAGACTAACTGAACTGAACTATTTTTTTGTGTCATTGAACTGAACTGAACTATACTATAAAAACTTGAACTGAACTGCAGTTTAAACTGCACTGAACTGTTATGATATTTTGAATTGAACAATTTTGACTCATTGATCTATCAAAATAAGACACATTTGCCAATATTACTTTATTTTCCATTTTATTTAAATTTTTCAAAAAAAATATATATATAATTAAGTCAAACAAACTCATTGAATTTTAAGCCTAAAAATAAGTAGTCCAACATAGCTCAATTGATCCGTTAGATTCGACAAAATTGATACAATTTTTTTTGGATCACTTTTTTTTTTTTTAAGTTTTGGTTATTAGACTATCGAGTTAATCCATTAAGACATAACATGTTAGACACATTTAATTTTTATCCTTTTATAAAAATAGTTTAATTTTTATAATTCAGTTCAGTTTTATAGTTCAATACAGTTAACTATCAAACAGTTCAGTTCAGTTCAGTTTTTTTTGCCCACCCCTAGTATTTTTAATGTGTATATATTTTATCATACTTTTAAATGTCAAATTTTAATGCAAAATGTTAGAAATATATTTTTAAGGCAAAAATATCAACACTAGTTTGCCAATTATAATTATAATAATAACCACTAAACAATACTAATATCCAATAGTTGTTGTTAAATTTTAAATCTGTTGGATTTGATCCCCAAATAAAATTTTTGAACTATGAGAATTACATGAGAACAGATTCAAGAATGTAAGGAAAAAAGGTATTGGTCAAAGAAAGAATTCAAACTTGGGAGGCAAAGCCTAAAGGTCATTTTGTGTTGGAAATTGATTTAGTTTTCTTTGAGAGGCACTGTTTATTGAAGGTTTAGGGGATGCTTTCATTATTAAAGGGGTTATAATTAAGCCATGACACTGCATGTCTACACCAGTTTACTATTACTTCTCTTCCAAACATTCTTTTTCAACTGCCCTATCTAATGTTGATAAATCAGCATGATATTGGTCATTAAGTGAGAAATTCAAGTAGCTATAGTTGTTTTTAGAAATGTTTGTGAAAAATAAAGAATAAAAGGTATACTCTAATAAGATTATTGTGGAGCTATCATGTGATCACTTGATGCTTGGTAGATTTTTGTATCAACGCTTGTTATGAAATTATCTTGGATGTCAGTTGAAAATTTTATGAGATCTTAATCTTTTTGTTCTAGCTTTGATGCCTTATGAAAAGCTAGGTGCTCCAATATAATGTGGTTGTTGTGTTTATCCTTTATGAATTCCCCATAATCTTGTCTTCCCCCAAATAGTTGTCAGAAAAGGTTTTAATATAGAATCACATATAGTTTTTTGCTCCATCATATTTTTAAAATCAGATGTTTTATGTTGATACATATTGGGGGTTGTATTATTTTTATGAAACTGGTATAAAATATCTTTATCATGCAGATTGTTGTTTCATAAAATATGCTGTCTTAGAAGAAATTGGTCAGGAAATTAAAGCAATGCACAATAAGCACACTCTTCCTGCAGTGAGTAGTGCTTCTCAATTCTAGATAGTAAATAAATAGTGAGATGAGTTATAGATAGTAATTTATTAGCACTTCTATATTATTATTTAGGATGTTGGTCCATTTTGTAAGTGATGTTAAATGCTAATAGCAAAAACATTGATATGAATACAAATCCTTGAAAAATAGTCCAGGCCTACAAAATAAATAAGGACACGGATGATGATATATATACCTTCTTTTTTTATAGGTACACTCCTTTTTTTAAAAGAAATAATTATATTTTTAAAATATTTTTAATTTTTTAATTTTATACTCTTAACATTTAATTTAACACTTTTTCACATATCTCTTTCCTTTGTTTTTATATGTACTCCCTTAAATATAATTCGAGATCATGTGTCAATATATATATATAGTAATTCTAGATAGTAAATAGTGAGGATAACTTATAGATAGTAATTTACTAGCATTTCTATATTATTATTTAGGATATTGGTCCAGTCTGTAAGTAATGTTAAAT